AAACTGGAGAGGGTGATAAGGGTATAATAAACATGAGACAATTTGCCTCAGACGGAAGTCTCTAATGGTATATCAAAGTATATGTTTTAATCCAGCTTAATACACTTATCACTGGCTTGAATGAAGTTAAAAAAAAACCTACTTTTTAAATGTGTGGATATCACAGAAATAATTCATTGGAAACATCATTTTTAAAAATGTCAACAGTTAGGGCCCCTGAACAAATTTAATGAGCTGGCATCTGATAGGATAAATGTAAAGTTCTACAGCTAAAAAAATGTGCCCCAGCCAAGCGGCTCAGTTAGTTGGATCATTGTCCCATACACCAAAAAGGTTGCAGGTTGATTCCAGGTCAGGGCACATACCTAGGTTGTGGGTTGAATCCCTGGTCAGGTTATGTACAGGAGACAATTGAACAATGTTTCTCCCCCACTCTCCCTTCCTTCCTCCCTCCCTCCCTCCACTCTCCCTTCCTCTCTCTCTCTAAAATCAATAAACAGCCTTTGCCAGTTTGGCTTAGTGGATAGAACGTAGGCCTGTGGACCAAAGGGTCCCAGGTTCAATTATGGTCAAGGGCATGTACCTTGGTTGCAGGCTCCGCCCCAGCCTAGGCCCTGGTCAGGGCTCGTGCAGGAGGCAACCAATTGATGTGTTTCTCTCACGTCGATATTTCTCTCTGTCTTTCCCTCTCTACCACTCTCTAAAAATCAATGGGAAAATATCCTCGGATGAGAATTATAAAAAAAAAATCAATAAACATATCCTCAGGTGAGGATTTAGGAAAAATGTGGCTTAATAGAAGCATAGTAAACTAATAGATTATATTTTACCTGGTTGTTTTTTCATGTCTGTATGGCATTTTCTAAAACAGCTTGTAAATATAAGCCAGGAAACATGATTTTGAATTTCCTAGAACTCAGAAGTACAAGTTAACACAGAGTCCAGTGTGCTCACAACAGGTGATCAGTAAGTGCTGGTTAATTAATCATGAGAAAATAGATACCTAAGGGTGGAAATACTTTAAGAAACCTGTATTCCTTGTTTCCTATTTTCAGACATGATCTGCATACTCCATCCTCTGTAGGTGGTTATCACTTCAGCTCAACTCTATAGTTTAAATTTTCTCAGTGTTAAAAAGCCTCTCCCTTGTTTTACAGACAATTATGACATGTGGCTTTTTAAAATTTCTGACTGTAATTACAGTGCACAATAGCTGGCCACCAATATCTGTATAGTTATCCTTGAAAATGGTTACCAATTATACTATTTGTCTTATATCTGTGGAAAGCTAATGTGACTGTTTTAGCAAAGTTGGGTCAATTGCAGTTGCTATTTATGAAATATCTCACAGTCTATTTCTAAAAATAAAAGATGAAATTTCAGCTCAATAAGATAGTAAAAGTATATGCAAAATTCAGCTCTATATGTGAGAAAGAATGCTTCCTGATTAAATGGAATAAAAATTTGCAGGGCTGGCAAAGCCATTAGAGAATAACACAAAAGTAAGTGTCACATGTAAAATTAGTGTCCTTTTTTCTAATATTTATAAAGATTGTTGTAAATGTCTTCTTTGAACTCCTACAAAAATGTCTGTACTACTTATATTCTGCTCATGCTATACTCTTGTTAACTGTTAGTCATTTTTTATATCTGCATACTACCCTCTGTTGTTTACTGAGCTTTGAAAGCTTCTAATGGTAATAGCTGTGTCTTCCTTGTATCCACTCCTACTCAGTCTTCATACATCACATTTGTTCACTTATTCACCAAATGTTGACTTAGAGCTTACTATGTGCCAGGCAGTATTCTATCTGCCAGGAATAAAGCAGTGAACAAAATAATGTCCTAGACCTCAAAGAGATTATAGTTCTCTGAGACAAGACAGACAGTAAACAAACAAACAGAAACAAAAAATATGTAATGTGTTTGCAGTAATACATGCTATACAATGGAGAAAAATAGATTTGGTAATGAATATAGAGAATAGCAAGGGAATAATTTTATGGAGTAGTCGGAGGAATTTTCAGTAAGAAGGGGACTATTTAAGCTAAAACAGAGTCATGCAGATATTGAGGAGGGAATGGGGAGGGAAGCATTCTAGTCACAAAGAAATGTAAAGAACCTTTGACTAGCCTGGCCAGCATAGCTCAGTGGTTGAACCTATGAACCAGGAGGTCATGGGTTCCATTCCCCATCAGGGCACATGCCCGGGTTGCAGGCTCGATCCCCAATAGATGGCATGCAGGAGGCAGCTGATCAGTGATTCTCTCTCATCATTGATGTTTCTCTCTCTCCCTCTCCCTTCCTCTCTGAAATCAATACAAACATATTTTTTTTAAAAAAAGAATCTTTTACTGGACAGCATTTGGCTTATTTCAAGAAGAGGAAATTCTGTTATTAGAGATGGTTGATTGAGGGGGATAGTGGAAGGATATCAGGTGAGAGAGTGTGGAAGGATATGGGTAGGTCATGAATGTCAGAGAGTTTGGGTGGAGGGGAGAGAAGTTATCTCATTTATTTTTAAAAGGGCAGTGATAGACTCTCAGTGGAGAAAAGACTCATGAGGAAATGGGAGTGCTGAGACAGAGTGGAACCTGGGCAATAAGTTAGGAGGTTATTGCATTGCTCAGGCAAGAGGTAATAGTGACTTCCATTACATTATAGAGAGTAGAGAGGGTGAGAGGTGGTTGGAAGATAGATATGATTTGAAAGAACAATAAAAAGAGCCAAAACACCTGGTAAGAGATTGAATATGAGACTGATTATGGATTAGATGTGAAGTGTGGAGAAAGTGATTAGGAACAATGTGAGGTTTTCAGCCTGTGAAAAAAAGGGTGGAGCTGTCACTTATCTGTCACTGTAGCGGGGAAAGTTGCCATTGGAAAGCTGCAAGAGAAGACTGTTTCAGACGCAGAATTTGCCTTTTGTTTATCAAGATTGCCTTTTCTACATACAAGAGGGGATACAAAGTAGGCTATTGGATATATGGGTCTAATGTTTGGACTTGGGTTATAATGCTTAATGTTTATGCAAAAATAATGCTTATTTTTGCTGATTGATTTACTCTTTTAATAATGAAAACATTTTAACTGGTACTTTTACAAAATTGGAAAAGTCAAACAAATCTTTGCTTTCCAGATATATATTTGAAATAGCATATTTGTTCTGGTTCAAACAATTGTGTTTCTGAGTTAAATGTTGTTGAGGATAGGTGATATTTGGAATCATTTCTCAAATAAATAAAAATATTTCCACTATAATTCATTTGAAACAGAATTCCAAAACTTACTGATAAATGGTTTATTATACTAATTGCTTTTTCCTTACTCCCATAGTCTGTCACTGTGCCAGAGGGAAATTATATTGGTCTTAAAAAGATTTGTTCTACAAATGGCCATGTAGGTCACCACACAAACACTTACTTAGCTGGTGGCAAATTTATTATTTAATGATTTGTCCCCAATGTGTTTCTGGTGGCTGTATTTAAAATCATTGGACTATAATTGCTACCCTTTATGCATATGCATGCACATGTATTTTATTTATAACTTTTAGAAACATTTTTCATTCAAATAGTCAAAAACACACTATATTTAAAGACTATAATAGCATAGAGCCATTCTTTAAGTATTTTTAAGACTATTTGTACAATGAGAGTTTGAAAAATAACCTAAGGAGTTTGTAGTTGACATTTGCTAAATTAGTATCTCAGAAGGAATAATTAAATGATAAAGCATTTTAAAGACTTCATACATCTTGAATGACCTTATACTTAAAATAGCCTTGATATAGCTGAAACGCCCTTATGTTTCTATTCTCTCTCTACTTTGAGACTTTATCAAGTTGATTATCTCCAGTAATATTCTTTTTTAAATTTATTTAGAGGACTCAGACACAGGTATTAATGTGAAGAGAAAAATTGTTCTCCAAAATAACATGGTTTGCTATCCAGATGGAAAATTCATGGGGGATAAGATAAGTATTTACTGAGTTTAAGTTAGAAAATGAAGAAAAAATAATAAAGGATGGGATAGGTCAGGGATGGGCAACCTTTTTGTGAGTGCGTGCCAAAACCTCTGACTCAAAATTCTTCTGCGTGCCAACCCTAATTTTTTGAGAACATGTTACGCCTACTTGATATCTCTTAAGGTGTATGTATGTGAAGAACCTTGAAGAAATAATAAAATTCATTCGAGCGACAAAAACACAGTATATTATGATGTAAAGTACATTTATTTTTTAATGTATACACGTACACTGATAGTCCAACAGAAAACTTTATGACTCCATTTGATATCATCAGTGGGACTTTTGCTGCTGCATCACTGATGACAGAGATTTTACATCAGATTTATATTTCGTGACCTTCAGAGATATGCACGAGCTACTACTTTCATCCGTCAGGCTACTCCTATGATGAGACTTAACAAAATTCATCACTGAGAACAAAGATTCATAAGCATATGTGGATGAAACCAAAACACTGGTCAGATCTAGGAAGGCAGGGAGAGTTAAGGCAGAGGCATAGAAATTGCTCTTCCCCTCTCTCGTCAATCCATGTCTATGGTCTTTAAGATAACTTGTTATGTAAAATTATTTATTTATTTAAGATGCACCTAGACTGTATTTATCTGAAAAATAGAAAAGTCGATATTAAGAAAAAAAAATTGTAAATGGAAGATTATAAGAGAGGGTTTCTCGTGCCAGCAAAAGTTACTGGCGTGCCATGTTTGGCACGTGTGCCAGGGATTGCCCACCCCTGGGATAGGTCATTCCACATATATTTTAAAAACATTTAAAAATACATTTGACTAGGTTCTTTCATATTGTTTTATTATCTTTCTTACTATTTGTATTAGTGTATTATCCTGAAGAATACTTACTTATACATTACCACACCCGGGATATTAATTCCTAAATACTGATGCAATGTGAACCTAATACATACATTGATACTTTTTATAGTGTGTGTATTTTTTCTTTCTCTATCTTATCCATAGAAAATGATACCATCTACTGGACAGACATGGGCTTCAATAAAATTAGTCGAGCTAAAAGAGACCAAACTTGGAAAGAAGATATCATTACCAATGGCTTGGGAAGAGTGGAAGGGATTGCTATTGACTGGATTGCTGGTATAATCTATGACTTTTTCTGTGTGTGTGTGGTTGTTTTTTTTTTGTGTGTGTGTGTGTGTATCACACCTATGTTTAAGAGCTCAATTTGCCTCGTAAAAATTCTGAGTGACTCATAACAATTTTTTTTGTAGCCATAGAGGTAAACAGTCTCTTATTTTGGGCCTCATTCTTTATCTAATGCTTTTGAGCCTTTTGAAAAGTGTTTTTGTTTTTTTTTTAGAAGCAGATTATATAGTGTTAACTTTGCCTAAATCTACTGAGAGCTCCATGAGGCAGGTAGACAGAAGTGTTACTTTTCTTGCCTGAAGTCTACAGAAAGCTAAAATATATTTCTCCTCTGGTTGAGAGAAGTTTTAACTTATTTTTAACATATAAGTGTATCATTACATGGTTTAAACTACAGGTGTATGAGATTTAGGAAGTATTTGCATATTATTTACAACTTTCTGCTGAGGAAATGTACACAATAAAAATATAGGAAGCAAATGATTTCTTGAGAGTTTATATAATGCTCAGAAAGTTAATAATTAGAGCCATAACTAATAAATAGTCTTCCTTCTCACAACTGTATCATAAACACATCTGTATTTCTTCTAGGTAACATATATTGGACAGATCATGGTTTCAACTTGATTGAAGTTGCAAGACTCAATGGATCTTTCCGTTATGTAATTATTTCCCAAGGCCTGGATCAGCCAAGATCTATAGCTGTGCACCCAGAGAAAGGGTAATTATAAATTTACATATCTCTTTTGAATTTTAAGTGAGTTTTCTTGTTTCATTAAAAATATCCAGACTTCCACATTAATACTTCTTTTTAGTTATAATGTTTAAAAAAAACACACTCAAAAATAGCTTGCCTAAGCAGAAAAAAAGTTTATTTTCATTTGGTCACGTATATTTTAGTACATATTTGGTGGGATACATTTGTTATGCAGCTCTCTAATGTGTATGTAAATCCAAATGAGTAGACCAATATGGACCTGGAGAGCATTATGCTAAGTGAAATAAGCCAGTCAGAAAAAGACAAATATCACACGATCTCACTCATATGTGGAATCTAATGAACAACATAAACTGATGGACAAAAATAGATCCAGAGACAGAGAAGCATCCACCAGAGTATCAAACCTCAGAGGGAAGGCAGGGGAGGGTGGGTCAAATCAACATGTTCATCCTAAGCTTTTTTTTGTTTGTTGTTTTTTCCCTTAGTTTCAGATAAGTATGTCTGTCTCCCAACATTTCCATTGGATGTGTTGAGGACACAAAAACTGTACATCAAAAATTATAATGAATGCAATCTGCCAAAAAGTTTTGCTGATTTTTTCTTTTAAATATTACCAATCTACCACTCTCCATCTTTACAGCCTCAACCCTAATTAAATCTGTTCGTTTCTTACACATATACCACTGCAGTTGATCTCCTAACCTTACAAAAGAATAGACTGAATTTTTTAATTTTATATAAACCTACTTAAAAACTTTCAAGGGATGCCCATTGAATTTTGTGTAAAGTACAGAAATTTCTATTGTGATCCTTCTTAACAAGGCCTCTATCTTTTGCTACTGTTTCTTTGCTATCTCAATCAGATAGCAAAGAAACTTGGACTTCTAAGTTTATAAAATATTTTCAAATATACCCCATACTTTTCCATTCCCAGCCTTTGAACTGTCTCTTCCCATTACCAGCAGTGTTTTCCTTCCTACATTTACCTTGCAAAATGTTATTTATCCTTCCTTGGCTTTGCAAATACAGCAGATTTTTCTGTTATAGAACACCAAATACCAGTGCTTTCATTTTTATACATTCTGTGTACTCAAACATCCTTATTTATTAATATTTATACTAGTAGCTCTGTTTTCCACTAACTGGATAATGCCTCTATTCTTCACTATAACTCTATGAAAAAAAGAGTCATGTGTGTTTGGTTTATTTCTCTATGCCCAGAATTTAGTGAAGAAGAAATGAGTTCATGCAGAGTTCTGACCAAACTGCAAATTCATAAGCAAATAAATTAGTGTGTTTTAAGCCTTTAAAGTTGTAATGATTTGTTAAGGAATAATAGATAACTAGAACAAGATACATCAGAAATCTTAACCTTAACAGGTCTAAAATTAAACTGAATATTTTTCTATAATTATGACTTCTCCATTGGTTGATGACAGTTCTGTTATTTCATTTGCTTAGGCCAAAAACACGTGACATCATCTTTGGTGCCTCTTACATACTCCATATCAATATACCAAGAATTCTGCTACTTTTGGCTTCAAAATACATTCATACTCTACCTACTTCTTACAATTGTTATTGCTACCACCCTAGCCTGAGTTGTTATCACACTTGCCAATATTTCTGAATTATTGTGTACCGTCTTCTACCCTCATAGCCCTACTGTCTGTTTTTCACATAGTGACCTAGTTATTCTTTTGTAATTTAAGTAGCTGTCACTTCTTTGCTCAAAATTTACCAGAGGGCCCCTTTTCACTCTGTTTAAAGCTCACAACAGCCAGGCCAACATGGCTCAATGCTTGGGCATCGATCTATGAACTAGGAGGTCATGGTTAGATTCCTGGTCAGGGCACATGCCCAGATTGCAGGCTCGATCCCCAGTGTGGGGCATGCAGGAGGCAGCAGGTCAATGATTCTCTCTCATCATTGATGTTTCTATCTCCCTCTTCCTTCCTCTTTCTGAAATCAATAAAAATATATTTTTAAAATGTTCTCTTCCTGTGTTACAGTATTTTAAAAATATCTTTTAATATTATAATTCATAATCAAGCAATAAATCATTGTAGCCTCAATAGAGAAAATTTAATCAATTGCTTGACTGTGAATAATTATTCTGGTGGTAGAAGTAAGTATAATTTAAATGTGAAATCCCTTACATATACAGAAAATGGATTTGTTTCCAATAAAGAATTTCTTCCCTTCATATTTGTAATAAGTCCAACACTTCATTTGTTTCGTAGAGAACCTCTATGCCTAGCCTACTATAGATTCATGCAGTTCAATATAACAGGTCTCTTGCTATTATTTGTCAATCTAATTTTCTTTTTTATTTCTTATTGAAACCTGGTATACACCCTCAAGTTGTTATTCTAGACCTTATTTTCCTTTCAGATCTTTTCTATATCTACAGCCATCTTAGCATAAACTATACCTACTACTCCCTATGATGATTGAGAACATCAGGCAAAGGAACCCACATATACTTCATTTTATGTCAGTTTGTTCAATGAACATTTGTTGAGCAGTAGGTACCATGAAACAGGTCATGTCAGTACATCTCCATTTCCTGCTTCAATTCAGTACATTTTGACAAAACAGGACTGCTTACCATGTAGGAGACACTGGTGGGCACTGTGAAGTGTGATGGTATAAATAAAATGTTGCTTCTGTTCACAATGAGTTTTTTGTTTAAACTTGATGTTTAAACCTGATGTTTTAGTTAAAGAATAGTCTCATCTTGTAAAGTAAGACTCGTTTTCAGGCATAAAAAGACTAGAGCTACACAACTTAAGCTTAAATCTCATATCTAAATCTCATGTTAAAGTAATAATTTACATAAGGCCATTAGAAAATTATATTGAGTTTGAAGAGAAAAGAGATAGCATATAATTAGAGGAGTTAAACGTGAGGCTAATGGCAGCAATAGTGGTGATTACTAAGGCTTTATGAAAGAGACTTGAAGGAAAAAGTTTTCTGAGATGAAGTGGGAATATATTGGCAAAACAAAGGACATTAGCAAGAGTATAAGTACATGACATATGTGTGGGAAAGAGTAGGTGATGCAGCTGGAAGATAAATTGGGTCCATAAAATAGATAATTCAGTTTTAACATTCAGTTTATTTACCAAGTGAAGTCTAAACTGGTTCTGGACCCTCTCTCCAAAACCTCTCCTCTGGTCCCAAACAACCCACATAAGAAGAGATCAGAAGTGTGCTGAGACTTTATGGACTTTGTAGCATTCTTGAAATAGGGAATTTTTTCAAGTGCTTACTCATTATTTCAGGTAGAGTGTTATGGAGGAGTGGGGAGGGTTCTTTCTCTACTCACGGGCCAAGTGATGGGGAGAGATAGAAGCAAATATGTAAGGAGAAGACTAAAATAAATAGGGTTCTAGGAACAGTAAGTAAAAAATAAAAATAAAATGTGGCACTCTCTACTGCAGGTCCTCAGACCAGGAGGATTCAGGTTATTAGAGAGAAGGAAGAAAAGTTTAAAATATATATGAGACTTAAGTTTGGATGTTGAAAGACCTGGTCTTTTATGCTTGAAAATTCATCTTAACAATATGATTCTCTTATTTTAAGTAAAATTGTCCTAAAAGTAATGGATTCTTCCTGAGATATCAAATTCTGAAGAAGAGATGTTGAATAGAGCATAAATGGAATCAGGAGTTGAATAAATATGAAGTCCCTTCCTACTTATCTCAACAGAGTTCCAACTCTGCAATAAACCATGATAGTGGAAGAGATTACCCAAGAAAGAATACAGACATAATAAGTCTGAACAAAAATAAAGGATGTTTACAGTTAGAGGATGAATTGTTGGGTGGGGGGGATGGGGCAAGAAAATCAACAATAAGAAAAGAGAGAGAGAGAGAGAGAGAGGAGAGAGAGAGAGAGAGAGAGAGAGAGAGAGAGAGAGAGAAAGAGAAAGAAGAGAAGAGAAGAGAAGAGAAGAGAAGAGAAGAGAAGAGAAGAGAAGAGAAGAGAAGAGAAGAGAAGAGAAGAGGGAGCCATTTCAAGTCTGCAGATAATTTACTGTATCATAGAAGTCAAGGGGAAGGGAGTTTTAGGAAGATTTTTTACATCAGCAATAAGGAGATTTAGGAGGCATGAAATCAAAGAACAGAGCATGCAATTGAGGAGTATGATGCTATTGTTAGTTGTTAATTTCAGGAGATTGATAAGGGCAGAAGCCAAATACTAGTCTAAGTAATTAATAAATGAAAGATAATTAGAAAGTGGAGTTAGGAGATTTAGACTGCAGTTATAAAAACTTGGACAAGGAAGAGAACGAGGAGATAATAGAGGTGTGTTTGAGAAGATAGTAAGGTATGTAGAAAGTTTTTCTTAGTATGGGAGTCAGGTAGTACTACAAATATTCATAGGCAGAAGGGGGGGAAAAAACTAGCAAAAAGGAAGAGGGAGAAAATGCACATGAAGAGGAAACAAATTCCAGGGATTGCAGGAGGAGCCTTGGAAGGAAGAAGCAATAAGATGGACCAGAAATAATAGGGGACAGAAGATAGATAAGATCTGCATCTTACATCAGGTATTTCAAAAACTGTTATTGGAAGTAGAGCATTCTCACTGATAACTGAGCTTAGTTTGTGTCCTTGCTTATGTAATGCAGGGACAAAAGAGATGTAGGTTCCTGGAGCCTGATGAGGGACTAGGGGCTGGGATATTCACAGGATCATCAACATGAGTCATAAACTATGTCAGCAGTGGAGAAAGAGGATGGCAAAGTTGTCAGCAAGTAGTAAAGCACTTAAATAAATTTTGTGGTTAATTGCGGTACAGTGATGATCTGATGGTGTGGGAAAATGAAATGTCTGAGTTCATACTGAGCATGTTTTGAAAGAAGTGAATGTAACTGCAGAGAAAGTTTTCTTCTTTTACTAAAATTTACTTTTCCATTTTTATTCTGGACACAATGGTATCTGTTTCCTCAGGCAACTCATCGGATAACTATGCTTTTCAAATCTATCTTCTTT